ACCGTGCCGTTTTCCTTACGGCTCTCTGCTTATCTGCCTTGCAGGTAACTGCTGATGAATGATCTCGTGCATTAACACGATGGGGTAGGATGCCCCCATGAAGTTAAAAAGCTGATTTGTCTTAATCACAGTAGTGTGAGGGATTTGGGTTGCTTTGCAACTCAAATGTAAGGAGTTTAAAGGTATAAATACATTTGTCTGATAGAATTTTGTTTTTTAAGGAAGACCAATTAAAAAAAATCAAAATAAAAAAAGACAAGACCGGCTCTTTTCATGCTAGACATGAAGTTTAAAGTTGCGTTTTTGTGACAGTGTTAAAAATAAGTAAAATTAAGAAAAAGAAGGGTTCATTTTTCTGCCTTTTTCTAAGCTTGGAAATGAATGATCCAAATCAGATTACTCATAAATAGCTAATGTCTGTCAAACTACATCTGGATGTTGATATTTGTTACACATCAGTATCCATGTAGCTCATCCATTAACTGGAAGTGATTTAAAATCAAGAAGGTGCCACTGGTTACGATAAGAGATCGTTTAAACAAAAGATTTGTGGAGGAAAAAAAATATGTAAGTTTTTATAAAAGCTTTAATTATATTTTATACATAAAACATTATTTTAATGGGCTTTCTTTAATGAAGACTACTCACTGTTTAGGTTGTACAGCAACAGGAAGGAGAAAAGGAATCTTGGATTCTATTTAAAGAGCAGCCTGTGAATTAAAAAGCTATTAAAGAATTCTGCAGTCATTTAGGGAAAGATTTTGCATGAGAAAAGATTGGTGAATCCAGAGAGCGTCGTGTTGCTTTGGACCAGGCTGGGCGACACCATCTGCATGTTGTGAGCAGTAGGCCCAGCTCTGGGGGGGCACTGCTGTGTCCACCTCTGTTTGCACGTCGTCCCCACGTGGCAGTGGGAGCACGCGTTGTGTGTTAGTGCTGATGAGGTCTCTTCTCTTGCTCGGGTTTTGAAAACTGAGTTATTTGTCAACTCTCCAAAGGTTGATTCGAACTCATTCCAAATTTTATTTGATTAAAGCCATCGTACTCACAGTTGGAAAAATGAAATGCAAACAGCCGTAAGTTACTGTGTCTCGGATGGGTAAATGTCAGGCACAGAACGAAAGGGCTTTTTTGTTAGGTTTAAGTGAAACAGAGTCTTTATTTAGTGTCATGTTTTAATTTATTTATTTAAAAGCATTTATTTAAAGTTCTAAAAAACAAAGAATTCAATAAAGCAAGACAGGTGCAACTGCAAATGATTAATGATATAATTCTTGGTACTTTATAAAGTGTCTAACACTGAGGAGATTTATACAGTGCAGAATGGCAATTTGTGCTTTGATGGGAGGAATAGGTAATCAATACCTGCAAGCTTAGAAAAAGTGTTCTATTTCCTCCTCTAATGATATAGGGTTTTTTGCAAGGCAAGGATGTCTGGAGCATGAGACACTTGGAAGAAGAATTAATTTGAAATCCGTAGTGGAAGATCAGTTTCAATTAAAACTGCACTTGAATGTCCATGAAAAAAGCAGGCTGTTAGGCTTAAGCCTGATGGCTACTAGCAAGTAAATGAATCCCACTGCACTCTTCCTGATTGCGTTTTGTTGCGCTTATTTTCTCTGGGTAGGAGGAGGTGGAGTTCATTTACTTCTGTCTCAAACTCAAAACTAAAAATGTCCTTCTTTCTTGCCTCCCCAGCCCTGTTTCATCCCACTAATTGTTGGAGTTGAGCTGCTGAGGTTGTGGCCTCTATTCCTGCCTGCAATCGCTGCCATAACAGTGTGGGTCATACTGCATGTAATGCTTTGCATATCAAAAAGTTCTGAAAGAAATTAATGAAAAATGCGGCCGTTTATACATCCTGTGCTGATTTTAACTAGCAGGTCTTGAACCTCTAAATCAGAGCTTAGCCTTGTGGCTGTAATTTGGGATGTCAGGACTTGGAGCCACAGCTGCAGTGCTTGGTTGGGGTTGAATTGGATTCAACCCCATGAATTGCTGAGTTTCATTGCATTCGATTTTCCTTTAATAATGCAGCACCAGTATGGAAACTTTTTAAGCATGGAAACGAATGCTAGCACATGAGGATAGCAGATAGCACTGCTTTTGGGGTAAATTACAGATTTAGAACCAAGTGAAGATTCTGTATTTATAGAAAGAGATGTGTTGCTGTATTAAACTAATTCCAACAAGTTAAATTGGAAAAAGAAGACAGTGTGTTCTGTTTTTTTTGGGGGGAGGGGACTTAAGTGATACAGAAATTGCAAAAAGAAGAGTATGTGTTTGTTGAGGTTTTTTTAAGTGATACAAAGACATAAAAGCTTTCACATAAAAGAAATCAGTGCTGGGAAAAATTACATTTCGGTAAGAGTGCAGGTACCTAAGTCACTTGAGGTTTTAACTCACCATGGTGCTTTGTTTGCTTATTTACCCTTATGGCTTATTTTATTCATTTTGCTAAGACAGTTTCCACTGCAAATTGGCTGAGAGCTGGCTACACTTTAGAGAGAAAAAAACCTTTGTGACAAGATGCATGCAGGTAACCCTACAATCCCTTTTAAAATAGGTTGGCTTATTCAAAATTGCAATCTCCCCATTGACTGAAGGGTCACCAAAATGCTTACAGGAATGTGAGTGCTCGGCTTCCTTTGAAAGCACAGCTGAAACCACTGCGATAGCCTCTGCGAGCAGAGTGCTTTTGAAAAGCTCACCCTATGTTTATAACAAAGCCAAAAATGAGAGCTGGCAGGTTTGATGATTTTGGGTGCTACTGAACATTTTAAAGCAAATTCCTAAATTTCATGGAATAAATGCATGGTTGTATGGAAAGTAAATCTGAATTGCCAGTTAATTCACTGCAAAACAATTGCTGAGAGCATTCTGATTCAGGAAAAAAAAAATAGAGTACAAGTGGAACACATTTAGTTTTCCCCACGTAGGGCTTTTAATAATTTTGTTCTCCTTAGTTGCAGTACATTGGGAAATTAACTGAAAGTGGCTTTTGCTGACAATACAAGTTGAACAATGAGATAAATAAAACCGAGCTTTTTTTAACCTGGGCAAATAATGTGAGTGATTTTTAAAGGGTGTTGCAATTTTGCTTAATTGTAGTTGAAAATAAAACACTTTCATGTTGTTTTGGTTCCCATTCAGCATTTGCACGTGATGGGTACTGCACAACATCTGATTACTGATTGAGTGTCCTGCAGCGGCCCGAGGGAAAGTGGGAAAAGTCATCTCACACTCAGGCACTCATTGGAACCCTGCGCCAATGGAGCTGGGCTTCACAACCACTGGGGTTGGATGGCACTAATTGAGATTGCGTGTTTCTCAGATGCTGGGGTAATAAATGGTGCGTCGTTTGCTGCTGCGTGCCTGTTGAGCAGACATGGTGACTGGGTGGTTCAGGAGGTGCACAGCTGGTGTGGCATCTGAGGGGCTGGCAGAGCAGGGGTCAGCCCTGCCCTGTAACTTGGCTGTTGTGGATGAGAGAAACCTCTTCCTTCCCATCATCAATTTCCCTGTCTTTGCATGAGAATAACGGAGCCCTGCTGCAAAGCTCTTCAGGAACTGTAAGTGAGGAGCGCTTTGCAGGAACTGTGTGCTGTTATTTCAGGAGCTTAAACTGCTGTTTGCACTCCCAGAAACATAATCTCTTAGTCTCTGTTAATACAATTTAAGAGTTGGAGCAGGAGGTCATAAGAAAAATGTGAAATCGCTGGAGATCCTCCACTGTGTGCAGAGGTTCCTGGTGTTGTATTGCATCTGGAGCTGGTGTGTGCTGGGAATGGCAGCGTCTTTGTCTGAAACCTTTTCCTTCCACTTGCTATATTTATTGAATGTTCTTGCTGGAGAGCTATAGAATGGGCTGTGCGAGTGCAGGTGGTGGCAGGCAGCTTCTGCAGGCTGAGCAGTGCGTTGTGCTGCTGCCTCTCGCAGCACTGTGCCACTCTGATGCATCACTGCCTTCCTTCCCATGGCAGAGGGGCCAGGGCAATCCCACTGCAAAGTTTAGCCAAACAGTTCGGGGTTAGGGATGGGGGTTAGGGACCAAGATTAACACACCAAGAAGTAATCTGGGGCAGGTGAAAGCTCCAGAACAGAAGAAGAAGCTCTGCACCTCCTGTCCCTTGTGAGTTGGGTGTACAGATGTGACAACAGCTGCTTCAGAAACCACTTAGAAACACTTCAGTGCATGATGCTGAGTGCATCAGGACTCGCCATACACCTGGTGTGCTGGGGACAGAGGCTGCTCTGACATTGCTCCTCAGAGCTGAAGCTCATCCCTTGTTGCCTTCTGTGGCAGCCAGTGATGGGCTCGCCCGTACAGATGCACTGATTGCTTTCCAGAACCTAAACTCCTCCTGGCTAATAAATAGAAAATTTGTGTAAGAGGAACACCAAGAAGTTACAGCATTTTCCTGGTAGGTCACTGTTGTCTTCACTTCCTCCAGCAAGAGATGTCTTTTTTTCCTTTGCTGTTTTCTTCAAATTTACTAATATCCTATTTGCTTTAATTCTTCATTTTCATTTTTGCTGGCTTTAAAACCTTCTGAAGAAATGAGATCATTAATAAAGATCATATTATCTAATTAGAGCATTGTAGAAGAGCAAGTTAATGCCTGGCTGGTACATTGTGTATCTCTTCTAAGAAGGTAAATCATGCTCGTATATCATGGCTGAAGCTTTAGGAAAGTTCCTGTAAACCCATGCTAATTCATAACATACGCATGAGGGAATTACAGACAGTTTTACAGAATAGTAATTAAAAAAAAAAAAAGAGATATTGTTTGTTACTGCCAGAGGCAAAGTTTGAGTACTGCATGAAGCTAATGGTTTTTGATCTCTTCATAAGTTTACAAGTCTTAACCTCTTTCAGATGCACGAGGTGTAGCAGCAGTGATGTTACCTGGGGAGCCTAATGATTCATCCTCTTACTTAAGCATAATCCAGAATTAAGGAGCCACTGGAATGTTAATTGAATTTGTATTTGTTAACAGGTACCTATGGTCCCGAGCACTGGGTTACTTCCAGCGAGAAGTGCGGGGGGTCCCACCAGTCTCCCATAGACATCGTGGACCATCAGGCTCATGTTGGAGATGAGTATCAGGAACTGCAGCTCGATGGTTTTGACAATGAATCTTCTAACAAGACTTGGATGAAAAACACGGGGAAAACGGGTATGTTCTCTTCTGTTTGTCTCCATAGCCTGCCTGCAGTCAATTAGAAATTCAAGCCATGTTCCATCCTCCTCCTCTTTCATTGTTCTGTTGTTTGGGGTTTGCTTTTTTTTAAGAAAATATAATTTTCCAGAAGCTGCCTCCCATCCCTGCCTTTGCATTCTGTGCAAAGCGATTTCTGCAGATTGATTTTAAGGTTCATTTTTTAAGGCTTTTTTTGTGTTTTTTTTTTTTTTTTGTGGGTTTGTTTTTTTTTTTCAGTTCCCCGTACAAAATAATTCTCTTGGTAGTGAGTCGTTCCTCAGAATAAAAGGCTGTATGAGAGCTTCAAGGTGTAACCTTGAGTTATCAGCTTTGGGAGGCTGAAACATCTAATCCAAAGGAGCGCTGAGATGCAAGGCTCAGACTTTGTAGGGAAGGGGAAGTTTTAGAAATCGGGAGGTTTTGGAGAAGAAAGAGCAATAAGCGCTCAAAGTAGTGGGAGCTTATGAATGTGTTTCTGATATGATTATAGCACTGTGTTCTTCACTGAACTGAATCCTCTTCTGCTCTGTCTGTTCCGGCTTCCAGAGAAAAGAACAGTGAGAATACTGCTTATTTTTACCAAAACAGTTCACCGAAAGGTCAAGGTTGATTTATATGCAAAGCTGCGTGCATTTGATTACTCTTTAATTCTAAAAATGTGAAAATCAGAAATTATAAGGCCATCCTCTTCATTTGACAAGGTCAAATATTTTTAGGGAATTGGATTAAACCGCTAATTAATTCAATTTTATTTATTCAAAGTATATTTTGATCTTTATTAACATTCGACATGTGTGCCTGCAGTGCTTTAGGTAACAGGTTCCTCATCAGAGGTTTGTGAGCAAACCCGGGTATGGACCTGCTGCGCTTTGCATTCAGCTGTGCCCACAGCCTGACCCACTGCCCCCACGGGTCTTTGGGTGTCAGCCACCAGGTGCTTTGGACCCAGTTCCAGGGACTTACTGGGACACATTGCCCCTCAGCTGAGGAGGACACGGGCCGGGATCCTGCTTTCTTTCACGGCTAAGCAAATCTGGTTAATGTAAACCACTGGTTTTTTAATGCATTACTGAGGGTTTTTTTCCAGCTTTGCTAAGAAAAGCTCCTGTTTGCTCTCAAATCCTGACTTTGTTGCCCTTCGTAGCAAAATGAGGTTCAGGGGAGGCTGAATGCTGTGGAATTTGGTGCTTAATTAATCTATTTGTGTTATGTACCCTGCTCTTTTGGTCACAAAGAGCAAGTGTAGTTATCAGCAGTAACTAGAAATACCAAGAAAAAACGATGGTGCTTTTCTTCCAAGAGAAATGCTAATGCTACATGGTAAGTATAATAGGAACATATTGCTGCACGTATAATAGGAAACCATGCAGAACCAAAACGGCACGGTGGATGTTCCAGTCTTCATGCAGTTGGCAATGAAAGCTGTATCTTCGGTCTCCTCTGCTGGGTGATTTTAGCACCGCTACTATATTTGATTTCCTCACCCATTGGGGTGTGGATTTTTGCTGACAAGTTATTGCTTCTCAGGGCAACAGTAACTATCGCTGTTCTTGGGTAACTTACAGATTTTGCAGGTTAGGCAAAGACTCTTTTTGCCCTGCTATCATCTCTGAGTCTTCTGCTGAACTCTTAACTCCTCCCTTGATTTATCACATTCCATTCCCTTGGTTTACTGACCTTTGGAAGAAACTTGTCAGGGATTACTTTTTAAGGTAGCAAGTGGTACAGCAGCAAACCAGGTAGGATGTTTTGGCCTATGGGCAGAATGTAGCAGCAAGTTGTGCTGGTTGTGATGTGTGTTGACAGCAGTCTTGGAGTAGATGACCACAGGAGACCTTCCTGTTGCTGACTGACAGTAAGCTGCATTTGAATTTATGCAATGGTGATGGATGTAGAGGGCATTTCACTGCAATTAATGACTGCTTAAAGGAGACCGGGGTCTGAGGAAAAACCAAAGGCCTTAACTTTGATTCTCATTAATTGGCAGGAAATGCATTGTGTGGGTCATTGCTATTCAGCTGCTAGTTTTTTGTTTATTAGAATCGACCAATTAGTTTCTTTTGTGCTTTTAAATATTAAAAGGTAAAAAGAAATTTTGATTTGTTGTGCTCTTTTTTCCTTTCTCTTCATATCATCTAAAGGGCAAGCAATGTACAGGACACAGAACTTCATTCAGAAAATGAACATATATTCATTATGCCAAATGCCTCAGCCAGAAATGCTTTGCATTGGATTACATTGACTAATGTGGGTTTGATTTCATCACCATAGAGGCTGGTTCCCAAGTGGTAAAGATTACTTGGAGAGTAGAAGCACCTTTCATTTTTGTTGTTGCCTGTGCCACCTTTAATTAAGTGTTAGCTGTTGTCAGCTGGGCCTGAGGCTGATGGAGCTTGTGGGCACTACCCTGTGGGAGTGGAGCATCTGTGGGAGCAGTTCCCACAGCAGCAGTGCATGCACTGCGGTTTTACCCCTCCTTGGATCACTCAGAGCTTCTAATGACTCTGATAAACTCACAGGCATTGGTGCCAGAGGTGTGTTTGGGTACGCTTTGTACCTTGTGTGCATCTCAGGCTGGGTCAGAGCTGCTCTGATAAGACAAGGGAAGAGCTGCTTTGTAGCCAGGCTTGGTTTTGCTCTCGAGAAGGTGGAGGATGCGCAGCTCCAGCCCTGGTCCTGCAGATTGCATCAATGATGGTGATCCTGGTGGTTGTGCACCACCTGCTTTGTTTTTGAAATCTCAATCATACATTAATTTTAAGCCTAGTTGTTATGGAGGGTTAATTCCTTCCTGTGTCCTCTGCATGACTTACTGGATAAAAGCAGTGGATCCCAAAATCCAGTTTGGCTGCTCCAATCCCTAATGCCAGAAATCACATGGAGGAAGGGAAACCTCCAAGTTAATGGCAATAAGGAGGTGCTGCTGAGATAGGATGGTGCTGAGAACACGCGTTGTAGAGCTCAGCAGTGTAAGGAATTCTGTAAAATGAACAATTAGATGAACATTTCAGATTGTACATCCTCCTAATTATCCTTTTAATTATTCATCTGAAACAAGTAAAATGACCCCTGACAGAGACATAAATGATTTAGGAACTATCAAATATTTATTAGATGCAACTGAATCCCCACAGAGGTTTTTAACAGATGCACGCATATCTGCTTTCCTGTATTCTTTAAGTCCTCCAATTTTATCTGTGGAATTTCGAACCAATTGAGTGAGATGTTTGGTACCTGAAATACTGCTGAGCTCAATGAGGATTTTGTAAAGGAAGAGGAGAGCAAGCAGTGGTGCTTCTTGTCACTTGTGTTTCGGGGTTGGTGTAAGGATGCAGCAGTACCTGGGCAATACAGACAGTATCCTACAGCCTCCAGACTTCCCACGCAAATGCTTTTATATGAAGGAAGTAGAACTCATGGAAGAGCCCTGTGGTGTCACTGGTGCAATGAATAAAGGCCTGAACATCACATGCACATCGGCATTTAGGTGGTTTTAATATAAACAATTTGATGCTTAGACATTTCTTGGTTGCACAGTTGCACCTGAGCTGGAGCTGCTGTAGCCTGCAGTCTGTACTTGCAGGGAGCAGCCCTGCCATGGCAGACAGCCCTGCCTGCAGCATGAAGTGATTCACCAGCAGAGGAGTAGCTCCTGTTTCACAACCAGCCTCTAGATTTTTTCCAGCAGTGAATAAAACCCTCTCCGTTACATAATAAAAGCGGATTTATATTAATGTTCCTGTTGTGATGATACAGCTGGATTGAGAACAGAGAGAAATCCTTGTGGGTTGAGCTCTTCTCATTTAAAAAAAAGAAAAAAAAAAGAACAACGAACAGCACAACTTCAATCACAGGATTCTGGGCAGAGCAAGCAGTGGTCTGCAGTGGCTTTTACAAGAACAAAATGCTAATTTTAGTTCTGTTTTTAAGTGCCAGTTTTGCAGAAAATGAGGGGAAAGGATTTGGTAAGGAGTCATTATTAGGAGTTATGCGTGTTAAAGGTGGGAGGTGCTGGAAGGGTGGGTGATCGTGTAGTGAGAGCAGCGGACAGAGATGTCAGAAAGCCGGGTTCAGTTCTTGGTGGGACGGTAGTTCTCCCTGTATCATGTACCATTTTCCACCGTATGACTTTGCCCTCTGTTTGGACCTACAGCTTTTATTGTTGCATAAAATATAAAGGCTTTTCAGAAGGGAAAAGAAATTACAAAGAAGATCCTTTTGACCCTTACTGAATTGTGTAACAGTAATATCAGTTACTGTAAAGAAAGAACCGAAACAGTTCTGGTGGGGGGCTTCTCATGAGTGGGTTTCAAAAAAGTTATTGTCACTCTTCCTGTTTTACAGAAGGGAAGAGCAAGGGGGTCGAGGAAGGTACCTGCCATGTCCAGCAGTAATGGGGGGGACAGGACACAGGCCCTTTTTCCCCTGGTAACTTAGAGGAAATGCAACAAACAGAGGATCTTCTAACTGGTTATCTGCACACCTTCAGTGAATCACAAGGCCAAGCAGTGTGGTCAGCCATTAGTCCCTGCAACGACGTTAAATGGTTCTTGATGAAGTTTGTCATTTCAGTTTTAATCAAAGCCCAATGGTAAAACCTGCTTGCAGAATTTGGACTTGGTGGTTTTCTGTAGCCTATATAATCACTTCTATAATTAGCCAGCATTAAATGTAGCTTTTTTTTTTTTTTACCAGTCCTTGTGAAGAGGATAATGATGACCTCATGTTTTACTTGCATTAGAAGAGATATTGTAATATAATGAGCAAAACCTGTAAATGCTTCAAAAAACTGTGCTAAGAAGGTCTTTCTCCTTGTTCTGTGTGTGCAGTTGCTATCCTGCTGAAGGACGATTACTTTGTCAGCGGCGCCGGGTTGCCAGGCAGATTCAAGGCAGAGAAGGTTGAGTTCCACTGGGGTCAGAGCAATGGATCAGCAGGCTCTGAGCACAGCATCAATGGCAAGAGGTTCCCCGTTGAGGTGAGTGGAAAGACATGTGCTTCTGTTCTCCAAAAAAAAATAAAATCAGAATGTATTGCTGTAGTTTGAGACGGCTGTGAAATAGGGCAATGTTTCCTTCAGTGAACATATCACTTTCAAGGCCCTTCTGGCCCTCGCAGCACTCTATCTATCATCTCTTATGTGCTTTTGCAATGTCAGCTCCGAGCTCTGCTTTGCTCGCATTGCTAGCTCTCACGTCCCGTGGGCTGTTTCAAACTGCCACTTTTCTGGTTTCTCCCATAAGCCCCTCTGTGTATGGGAGGATCTCCTTGCAAATATCTGCAAAGTGACTTCATTGTCCTCCAAATCCTTTCTTTCCCAGGATGCTTACAAACAAGCAGCTAGCAGTGGTTTGGGAGCCATTGTGCCACGGCTTCTGCCTTTCATCAGCACTGCTTCTTGCATACGTGTGGCCCTCTGCTTGCATTCAAGGTTTTGCATGGTGAAATAAAGCAGACTTTATCTGGAATTACTCCTTCTTGTTGGTAATCTGACGAGTGCTTTCGAAGCAAGACATGTCCTGCTGTGGCATGTGGATGTGAGCAGTCTGTAGGGTGCTCTGCTTGCCCAGAAGGCTCATGTGGACAGACGTGGTTTTCCTGTGAGCTGGGCCTTGGCAGAATTTGATTCAGACCCCAGCTTGCCATAATGTGTCTCGTGTGACTTCAACCAAGTCCCTTTTTCAGAGCATGAAAATGGGATTCCAAAGCACGAAGGGAGGTTGTAATAGACTCTAAAAAAGTGCAGTTTACATCTTTCTGCTGCAGCTGTCCCAATACGTGAGTTAGAACAACTTTTTTTTGCCTCCTGCTGGCACCTGAGCCTGTAGGTTGGATGGTCTGAGGCAGAGATTTATTGGTTGGTTTATTTATTGCAAGGTTTTTCCAACAGCTTCTGGCTTGATGCAACTGTGATTTTTGGTGACTGCTACCCCCCTCAAACACCCAGAGCATGGGCCTGTTGGGCTGCTGTCTGCCTCAGTTGGCAGTGCTGCTGTTTGTCACTTAGGGTGCTGGAAGGAGCACTGTGGAAGCCTTCAGTCAGCTCCTCTTCTGAAATTTGAGGGAGTCAGGCTGGTAAAGGAGCCTGGGTCTTCTTTCTGGAATCAGAAATAGTATTGCCACTGCAGAAACCCTTCCTTATGAAGCTATCCTGATGCTGGCTTGATCAATAGAAGTTACTTTGAGGAGAAAAAAAAAAAAAAAGAAAAAAGAAAATTCTTAAAAAATAATTTCCCTTTTGTTTAAATATTCTTTATTTACTTTTCAGCTGTTTGGAATGCTTATTTTATCTGCTTTAAAATTAAAAAAGAAAAAGGAAAAGAAGAATCTGCCCTTCTGAATTCTGTCACTGTTTATGAATGCTGTGCAAACCAATTTTCTATATCAGATAGGTTTAGTGTTAATCCTTATAATGAAAATGTAATTTTCCAAGTGATTTGTATTCATTGCTATAGCATGAGCCTCTGATCTCTGGCCTTTCTAAGTATAAATGCATTCAGCAGGATTCCCACAGATTTTTCTTTACTGTTTTTATAAGGGAAGAGCATTTTCCTAAGCAAGACTTTCCTTATTGCTTTGCTATGTACCACCTCTCTAAGATTTCCAAATTTTGTCCACTTCATTAAATCATGTGCTGGAAAGGATTTTCCTGGGTGGATTTTGAGAGGTGCTCAAAATATCCAGTAGGTCGCAAGTGATAAAACTGTTTTCTTCTCACAAAAGTAGTTCACACAGTTGAGATTTTACCTCTCAAGCAGTAACTGTACATGTGTGCATGGTGCAGCTTTTAATTTGGAGCACTAATTGTAGTTCAGCATGCAACTGCCTGATGCTGGGAGAAGTGTGCCAGAAATGCTGTGTTTCATTTCAGAAATAACATTTCTAGGTAGGCTTTGGAAAGAAAAAAAGCAAAATCCCATCCTACAGAAAGTAAAGCCCAAATCAGTCTGACTGTTCTGAGACCCTGGGCAGAGGTAAGGGTTTTAAAGAGTGCACACATGTATTGATGTGCCAGGTCTGCAGCAGTTATGGTGGAAATGTAGTTGAAAGCAACCATTTTCTGAGTCTAATTGAGAAACCAGATGTGGACTATGCAAAATCCATCAGTTCCAAAGCACGTCCCAAGGGAACACAGATAAATCAGCATCTTCCATAGACTCTGTTCTGTACGCTGAAGTTTGGACGGTTTTTTCCTCTGGGAAACAAACTGCTTGCTGATAGTCTTTTTTTCTTGAAAAGGATACAGAAAGTAATTAGAAATGTCAGATATAATACAGAGCATTATTGTTTGACCATGTTGTTTGGTTTTTATTATTACAACTAATGTGTCAGATGGTAAGGCTGTCTACGTTAATTGGTTTCCTTCATTGAAGCCCATCTGGATCATATTTTTTTGTGATTTATATGTTAAATTAGTTGGTAAGATATATGAGAACGTCCTTTTGTTTCCTACTTTAAAGGCGTGTTGGATCAAAGGCGTATTATCTTGCAGTACTTTTTTGCATATGTAGCATATTGTGATTCCTTTTTAAACCATGGCATATGTAATGGTATTCTAAATGGTTTCCTTCATTATATGGTCTTGATTGCTTATTTATTGATTAGATTTTCCTTGATGATACTTTATCCTTATGAAGTCATTATGAACTTGGCTTTCTCTGAAGTATCATTTACGAGTGGAGATGAACATATGTCTCCAACTTCTATGCATGATCAGAAGCCAGTCTGTGACACCAGGCCTGGTCAGCATCGGCTTCGAGTTTCTTTTTTCGTCTTCCTTGCCATTTTTGCATCCTCATCTGTGAGGTCAATAAAACTAGTGCTGCGATGCTGAAGATTAAAGCAAGACCATTAGTGCATTGCTGTGCCAGTGGAGCGTGAATCCTAATGAGGATATGGGCTCTGTGCCAGTTTAGAAAAAGTCTCCCTCCTTTTTTTCTTCAAGTCAAGACAAGTTTTTTTGACATCGCAGTCTCTAAATTTTAATGAATTGCTGACTCCTTTGTATTTTGTTGTTGTTCTTCTCCATTATAATTACTCGAGTTTTTCTTTTGCTTTCTGAACTTGAGGCTCTACAAACAAAGATGCAAACGCCAGAAACCATTTAAATGGCGAAGTGACAAAACTGCAGTAAAGAAGCAGTTTCCCTCAGGCCAGGAGAGAACCCAGGTTCCCCTCGTTAGAGCCAAGAGGAATAATTGCAGCCCTTTCATCTCTGGTGCCATTGCCTGGCTCCCAGCCCTGCCTGCTGCGGGCCGTGCTGGTGGCTCAGGCTCCTGCTGGGGGAAGCCCGGCGCTGGGAGCTGACGCAGCAGCGCTGCACTGGCGATGCTCGCTGCCGCCATCCCAGCATTGCTGGGATTCTGAGCTGCCTTGTACTCATTTTTATGCAAAATGCTGATTATTTCTGTGAAGAGTAGAAATCAGAAGAGTGATTTTAATCATGACTGTGTTAATTTGATGTGAGCTTTGGCTGTTTATGAGCTTTCTCTTTAATGGCGCTAATTGTCGGTTATAATGTGAACACCATTATGTAGTAATATACAGTAATTTATTTAGTAAATGAGAATCTTATTCCAAGGACCATACTGCAGTATGCCATAGAGACCTCATCTCTTTAATCTTACATGAACAAACTTGCACTTTCTAGGCCAGATTGGTTATAGGAACATCAGCTTTTCTTCTGGAAAGCAATGTGATTTTGTTGTACCCACAAGCACCAGCATGCATGTTTTTGGAGATCACTAGTTCTTCATTTAAAGCAGACAATAACAACAACAAAATATACAACTGAAAAAGAAAACCAAACCCACAAAGCATTCCAGCAGAAAATGAAGAGCTAGCACTCTTTCATGTTGATTAACGAGCTTTTACGTTACGATGATTGATTCATTTCATGAAATTATTATTATAAACAATCATTTGCATTAATAATTTTTGTTCTCCTTTAAGCGTGTTCCTTAGAAGACCTTCCAGGTTCTAATGGTATCTTTGTTCTTGCTATTTCTTTGATTTTCTTCCCTTTCCCCTTGAGTATACATACTAACTTCAGCGCTGTAGATCTCCAGCTAGTTGCTCTAATTTGAATGCTCAGATCTCCTTGCCAAAGGTTATCACCATTCACTATCTTACCTCTCATTATATCACTTAAATTCTCATGTTTTATATTATCACAGACGGAAGATAATCAATGTTGTTAATGTAGAAAAGATGTGTGGTACTCAGTGCACAAAAGCCTTTATTACAGGATATGAACTGAGACCGGCTCGTGTTCTGGGGGTCATCCTGAATGGTAAATTCTTTCTGTGATCTCTAAAGTGTTACCTACTGTATTTCTCCAGGCTTTCATCCACCGGTAGATGATGGGATATATGCTACTTAGAGTTGGGTCCTTTCTTGTTAAGTTTTAATGAATTTTTTTCAAGTTCCATCATTGCTGCATTTCTAAGTTCTTTTAGGTTTGTGTGTGGTGTTCTTTCTGCTTTTTCCTTTAATATATTAAAAGGAGAACAGATCGCAGTATGTTTTCTTGATATCCAGGAGAGAAGTAGCACCCTACGCTGCTGTGGTGCAGTTAGGTTTATTATTCCTGGCATCCAGCATCTCTGGTAATTTTGCAGAAATCTCTGGTGTTGGCTTTGAGTACAAGTAAAGACTGATTGTGAAGTAGGGTGCCAGCACTGGTTTTATTCCCTTATATTTTGTTTAGTAGTTGCTCTTCAAATTTCCTTGCTTCCATCTGGCAGGATGTAGCAAAGTAGAAGTCAATAAATGATGGAAGGACCTAAAGAGGGCCATTGGGAATACATCACAGTGAGATACGTTGACTGTCTGAAGTAGTTTTACTGTAATATGCTCTCTGAGGACCAAATCCTCAGTTATATGGGGTTTCTTAGAGCTCCCAGTGACTTTGATGGGAGACCTGCTGGTGAAACTGAGTACAGATTTGGCTCCATACCCACACTGTCTTGGCTGTAG